CCCCCCATTATCACCTGAATCTCCTCCTAGAGCACCATTGTGTTCTTTTTAACCAAATATCTCTCAGAGTGGCTTTTCATCTGAAGTAACAGACAGAGAATCAGCACTTTTGAAACAGGGCTGAAACAGAGGGGATTATGGGTAATGCTGCAATGATCTATTTGGCATTTGGAGCCAAACACTTCAGAGACATGTTTTGTACCTGAGACCTATAATATATTGATGAAGAACAGTATCATAGGGGATCTTTAATGCCAACAGTTTATGTAAATTAGTCTTTCTATTACTAACAACTAACACAAATATTACTCAATGGTGCTACAAGTATGTCATATTTGTAATTATGTTTTGATTGCCAACTAAATGTAAAATATCCCTGTATAATTGATCTAGCTGAATCCTGACGTTTTGTACATTTATCTTCTCATTTTTATTTATTGATAGAATAAAATTGCTCCAACATACGATCCATGGTTGATTGACTTTGTAAACAATATTATTGTACCCTAAAATGTTTCCTCATCTCTGTATAATAATAATAATCTCTTCGTAATCTAGGAAATGTTTTTACCCATGTGTCAATCCAGGGATGTAGAATCAAATATGTAAATATATAATCCAAATGTATTTTATATTTGTTGTTTAGGGTGAAATGTTTCACAACTATTTGATGATTACGTAACTGCGAAAAGATAAACATATTGTTGGCAACAGAATATAGAATAACACTGGACTTTTTTTCTTTTAAACCCCCCCATGTAAGAGCCATTTTTGAATGATAATGGAGCTACTGTTTGATCTCCCAGGTGAAGCTCAGAGGAAGGTCGCTCATCTTCTCTTCGAACACTATGTCAAAATACTCATTCTGAGCCACTGTGAAGAAGTTCTTCCAGTCGCCTGCCACACCTGTCACAAACAAACACACAAAGACTTTAACCCTCCTGTTGTCTTCGGGTCAAATCTGACCGATTTACTACTTACATGGATCACACCTGGCACACGCAATACGTGTTCAGTGTCTATTCTTTGTATATTTACTGCAGTTGTTCATATACCAGTAGTCTGATACAATATGTACAGTTTGAAAGGGTGGTAAATGAAATTTGGTGATGATGAATGGTTTTTGTGTTAATGTAATAGCAGTTAAAACAGGACCGGTCAAATTTGACCGCGAACACCAAAGTAAGGGGGGAAACGAAGACAATAGGAGGGTTAATAAAACATCAAGCATAAAGCGATATGTAATTTAAAATAATAATAATCTACCAGTCTACCAAACAAGCTGGAAACAAACCTTTGCGCATGGTTGGGCTGCTGTAGCGTTGTTTTTCAACCAAGTCCTTGTAGTTAGCTTTGGGGTTTGTCTTCATGTTTTTGAACGTGGACATCTCCACAACATGATCGATGGCTTCATCAGTCAAATCTTTTCCCAGAAAATCACAAACCTTCACAACTTCCCCTCTGAGGTCCTGTCAATTCCACATGTAAAGGAAAGCATGTTATTTATTTTTACTACTACATTCATGAGAATTATAGTTAACATCATATACAGTATATATATATATATATGCTTGTATACTGGTAGGGAAGTAGAATGAGAGGACGCTACACGTTTGTTGCTAGTTAAACATTGAAAATAAACTTTTTTCTATAATCAACAACCCTGTCATCGTGGAAGAACTAAAAACCAAAAATATATATATAAAAACATGATTTCCAACCTTCAACATGTCTTCATACTTGACATAATGTACGTCCATCTCGTCTTTTTCCTTCTGATATTCCCTCACATGATCAAACCACAGTCCCATATAGACTGTTATACAATGAAAAACAGGAGATATTTAGACTGACATTGGTTTTTTCTCAAATGTTATATTCAAACAATATTAAATATACTATACAAATAACACCTTAACCTACCTTTGCCATCCATGAAGTCCTGAAAGAAAGCCTCAAAGCTCTTTGGTGTTTCCAACATCTTCCAACTGTGAGAAAAGTGATAGAGGGACACCAGGACATCTTTGGGGTTCCTCATCACATACACAACCTAAAAAACAGCATGTGAAGTTAATAAAAACGTAGTATCTGTAATTCCGCACCATAGGCCTGTTGAGGTTCGGATCTCAGTTTTTAGTTTAGTTTCTTCTCATGACTATACAACAGCCGCTTTACTATTATGCTAAGAATATATTGAGACACGACAGGTGAAAACGGTTAATATTTTAACAAGATATCACCATAACACTTCCCTGGTTGATTACGTTAAGACAATTACTTTGAATGTTCTAACACTGAATGTTTAAAGATGCAAATGAGGCAGTGTCAAACAATATCTTCTAATTTGGATACATTTCTGGAACCGAAATTTGAAGATCGACTGAAATAGATGCATTTTTGCGAGACTGTTTGCTTGGTTGACAGATGCCTTGTGTTGCAACAATATCTATTATAACATGTGTTTTATATAATGCAAGTTTAAGTTCATTTCCAGGCTGGACTGACAGCAGCAGAGACAGTATTGTAAGTCCATCCCTTCATTACCTTGACTCTTTTGGCCTTCAATCCAGTAGGCAACATGTCAGGGGGAAGGTGTGTGGCATAAAGACGGGGATCTGGCCTCTCTCGACGAAAGTCATCTAACGTGTTGGCCTCCAGAAAGGGAACTCGCGCCCTGTTGTCTGCCTCTTCCTCCATGTCGGGATGTGCAGCATCCATGATCTTGACAAGTATCTGCTGCATCCACGCTGAGCCTTAGCACAGAAAAAAGTGAATGCATCCATATGTTAAAATATAGATTTTAAAGCGGGCGGGGGCAAAACGCAAGATCTTGCAAGAAACAGCGTCTGAGGGCTTCTTAACATCTAACAAACTATGAATGTGTCATACCCACTTAACGGGAAGAAACTCAGCTTTCAGACAATATTAACAATTTTTAGCTAAACGAAAAAAGGGTAATAAGAAAGCCTCTGAATTAGCCCTGAGCGAAAGAATGCTAACGCACTTTGCACAGAACTCACGGTAGAAATACCCTTATTCCTTATCGGATCTGCACAAACAAGATATCGATTAGCAAGCTGAGATTCCACAGATTCCAGAGGTACAAGTAACATCACTGAGAGATCAAAACCTCTCTAAAAAGGTAAAATGTCACTTGTTTTGCATTAATCTTGATACAGGCAGGGTACTTATTATATGTTTGGATTCCTAAAGCTTTTTGTCTACTATCCCATCATTCAAGGGTGGTTTTCACAATAAGTAATGTTGTTTTTTTGGACGGACACTATAATTTACATTTTTTTACTATGTTCAATCTGAATTTACTTTAAAATAAAAAAATTCTATATTGACTCTGACTTTTCTACATCCAACCCACAGGTTTATCATTGCTTTGAGAAAAAAGATGATTAATTTACCCCTTTTAGAAGTGAAGAATATCATTTGTTCTGGGAAGGTCATTTTCGAGCCTGAGGCCTTAAAAACAGGCTTGGGGCTTAACTAGTTAAACAAGTTTCACATGTTCAGCTCGCCTGCTGTGCAATAATGCAAAAACTCTCCAGGTAATTAAATACAATTAATTAACGGGAAGTATAATGAACACTGTATCCATTTTCCTGTAATTAATAGCAAATTACAAAGTTCTGCCAAAGAAATGTCCTGGAAAATAAAATATATATTGTATTAGACAGAGTAATGTTTATTTAGTAAGAAAATACATAATTGTCATAAAATGACAAAGTTCTGCCATTGAAAACTATATGAAAAAAAGAAAGGAGCGCTAGACACTTCATTCCAACATGGCTTCTTCCTTATGTTTCACCCTTCCCTGTGTTTATTGGTTTATCGCACCTGGTAAAGGTACAGTACAGCTAATTGAATTACTTTGCATTCTACAGGGTCGTTTGGGGATTTACTTAAAGCTCCCATGTCATGGCCATTTCTACTGATCATATTTCCATTGTTGAGGTCTACTAGAATAGATTTAAATTGTGCAATTTTCCCAAATCACATTGGTTTCTCATACAGCATCTCTGTATAGTATGTGTATTCATTCTCTGTCCTAAACGGCTTGTTGGAGCTCCTGCCCCCCCCCCTCCCTGTGAGCCCAGATTGCTCTGATTGGTCGGGACGTTGCTCGTTGCGAGGCTCGTTGCGAGGCTCGTTGCTGCNGTAGGACAAAACACCATCTGAGACCAGAGGTCGTACGGTCAAATAAATATCTGAAACTCACACGATTCTTCGAGCTGGAAACTCTGGAAGGCGAGAGGTTCTGGTTACCTTCGTCCACGGAACCTACCAGCAGAAGACACACCCATTGAGTGGTGGTGTGGTTGGAGAAGTCATTCAAAGCCTGCAGTTGTGACTCGAAGGAGCAGAAAGTAACAAAAAGCGCAGGGGGCCTTGTGGTTAGTAAAACCAGGGTGACCGATGGGATGTATTGGGTGTATCCTGACCGAGTGACTAATAACGTACCACATTCCACTACAACATTTCATGGACAAAAGGTAGGTTTACAAGCACTGACGAGGAGGTCGACAGGGACTTTAAGTTCTATACAGTCTAGAACATAAATGGGGACTGTAAGGTCCCAGGGGAGTAACAATGGTACTGGAATTTCCTCCAAAGAATTGTTCCGGTCTCGGGTGTCTAGGAGCTGAAGGGGAAGTAGCACCCATGCTAACGAACGATGGATCTGAACAATGGACCGGAGAAGGGTGGGTTCCCCAGCCAGAAATAAGGGATAGACGAGGTCTTTCTGTGCCGGGCTACTTCCTTATACCAGCCTCAGATATGGAACGTGACCTTATATTAATATCTGGGAAAGAAGAGAGTGCGATCAGCGCACTACGACCCACGGTATTCTTTCGGAGGCCTGTTCTGTGACCTTCTGACGTACACTGATAGGCTCAAACTGCTGTCGGAGCGCTCAGTCATAAGGGCGAAGAGTAAGACAGAACTTCTGAAAGCAGGGTGATCTTCTAGGCCACGATTCTAGGACTAAGGCTCAACGAGAGTACGCCAGGTATCTTCGGAGTAGACCACTCTTATTCCCTCCCTCGTGAGTTCAGACACTACGGCGCAGAAGACTTGCGGAGGCCTTCGAGTTCTGGCGACTATCAAAGTCTGAAAACTACGCGTTGAGCTTTTCTTCGATGAGAGCGCTCTGTACGATATGGTGGAGAGCTCAGACACTATGGGCCTACTGTGAGTCTTTCGGATGCGCCTTCGTTCTGGGCGACTTCTGAAACTACGCCCGCAGGGGTCTTCGGAGAAGCGCTCACTCGTCTGGGGAAGAGTTTCGAGACACTACGCCGGAGGGGTCTTCGGAGGCCTCGTTCCCTGGGGCCACTTCTGAAAACTACGCCAGGGCTTCGGAGACGGCTCACTCTGGGGAGAGTTTCGACACTTACGAGGGTCTTCGGAGCCTTCGTTCTGGGGCCCACTATCTGACAGTACGCCCAGGTCATCTTTCGGAGGGCCATCACCCCTGGCGGACATACGGGTCTTCTTGGGGCAGCGCAGACAAGAGGTTATTCCGACTTCTTTCGATTCGACCTATTCCTGACCCGGGAGAGGGTTTTTAGTGACAAGGTGACCCTTCCCTACCCCTTACGGCGGATCGCACCCTTAGGTGCAAAGGAGTTTGTACCTACTACTATGTAAGTCTGTATGTCTCAGTAACCAACCTCCACAGAGCGGTCGGCTGTAATTTTGCCCCTTTCTCCTTAACATGACAGGGTTACAACGGCCTATTTCCTGAAGATCATAAAGTACCGGGTACCACAACTGGCCGACAGTCTGACCGACAAAGATTTTCTGGGTCGTTTTCTCCCAAGGCACCGACCTCGTTCATATAAAGGCTCAGCCCGGCCGTAGTGTTGTAGCACAACAAAGGACTTCTGACCATTGGTAAAGGACTTCATCGAACAGACGGCCAGTTTTCGAGCGCCCCCCACGTCCGATGGGTCAGACTATAAACTGGGTTAGTAGTTCTCTCCACTCTCGGTTGTAAATTTGCTAAACTTTTCAGACAGTGACGAGGGTGGGTCAAATTCCACCTTCTCCTTTGTTCGGACCTACGCAGACGGCCTCGGTCCGCCTAGAAGACGGGCGGCTACCAGCGGCGACTCTTCGCGTAGGGAGACTAGAGGGAACTGGACTACCGATCGTTAGGCTGGGAGTTAGTGGGTTCATGGACCGATATACCGATAGATTGGGAGATAACCTCCGGAGGACAAACCGGCTCGGCAGGCACACACATACGTTGGTACTGGTTTGTGCCTCCCAGAAACTCCCGCCTGTTCTTCCCCGGTGACGAACTCCGATGTAAGTTAGGTGGCACGTCCTCTAGTGGCGTCTGACCCGGTTCTGTAAACCCGCTTCGTGTCACACGAATGGTTATTTCCTCAAATCCGACCAGGTACGCCACCTACCCCTATTTTTCCGTCCCCCCGACAGGCCCCAAGGAGTCTCTGCACTTAAGAAGGAAAGGTGTTGGCCCCTTCGTCGAAAAGGTTTCCTTGTGGTGAACTTGCCGAAGTGAAACTTCTCCCGCAACCCAGACTACCGACCCGATCGATCTTTGTCGGCAGTGGGAAGGTGGTAGGAACGCGTGACGGGATCCGACCTGTTCCACTCAGTTCGTAGCTGTTTCTAGGTGTTGTCGTCCAGCTAGAGCGAGTCCAAATACACAGTGCTGCATTTCGTGACGTCTGGCCATGCATGCCGGCTTATGCGGCACCTTATTCTCCCCTCGCCTAACTTCTAGGCGAGGTACAAGTCCGCCCCTGTCGTCGACGTCCGTCCGTAGGTAGTAGTCTTCCTCCAGAATGTGGGCAGTTCGATGGAGGGCTGCGAGCGCTGACGCGTCCCCCGCCTCTCGTCGCTACTGGAGAAGAAGTCCATGCGGGCTAACCTATGAGGACTACTCCCTTTCCCGGCACCTGAGTTTGGAAAAGGGGGCCGAAAAACGTGGCATGTTGAATCCTGCCATTATACCGGGTTTCGCTAGGGCCAATTAGTACAAAATTACAAACACATCTGAAACCAAAACATGTCTTAATGACACTAATCAACTATTTTATTTATTTAATTTTTTTTGTAATCATAATGGAACCCTCCCAAGGGTACCCAGTTTTTGCGTACGGTCACAGTCCCCTGATAAATTTGTTACACAATGGGTCCCCAAGTCAGTGGACAGGGACCGCAAGCATTTTCACGGCCACTACGTGACCTCCATGAGTCCTCATAGAATCTTCGTTGAAAAGGGGGCGGAAAAGTTGTTGTGCATACGGACCCCACGAAATCGGACAGGTAAAACGTCCTGTCAGTAAGATTGTACTGGGAGAGGACCTTTACCGTGTTTATACAGGTAAAGGTCCTCTCTCCAGTGTCTAGAATTTCCCGTATAGGGGACGTGTTTACTGGTCCCAGCGTTGAGAGAGGGTCTGCAAATTCTTTTGTGAACAGGCGCTGGTACAAATTGTCGTCTGACAAAGGGGGCGGGAAAGCTGTCTGTGTGCATTGAAGGACCCACACAAGACTCGGACAGTAAAAACGTTCCCCTGTCAGTAAATTCGTAACTGCGCAGAGGACCTTTCTACGTGTCTATACAGTAAGGTCCTCTCCCAGGTTACAATTTCCTATAGGACGTTTTTAACCTGGTCCGATGTTCGGAGAGAGGTTCTCGCAAATTGTTTGTGCAAGGCGGCTGGTAAAATTTGTTGAAAAGGGGCGCGAAAGTTGTGGCAGTAAAGGACGCCCACAAAACTCGGACAGTAAAACGTCTGGTGTAAATTGTACACCCTTGCAGAGACCTTTTACGGTGGTCCTATACAGGTAAAGGTCCTCTCCAGTTACAATTATCATAAGGACGGTTTACTGTCCGCCGATGTTCGAGAGAAGGGTCCTGCAATGTTTTGTGAGAAGGGCCTGGTGAAGATTTGTTGAAAACAGACCTGAACCATTTCACGGCCAACTCTCGGGACCCATCATAGTATGAATAAATATTCCCATTGGGGTCCTCGTACTCTATAGGAGGGTTTCTTCCACCACCACAGTACTTCCATTCGGCTTAATACCTACGGGCCTGACACGCCTGCCATTCCGTGGCGTTTTTAGGTGCGGGGAAACTCCAATGGTCCCCGGTAAACTCCAGAAAATCACACTAGTACGACCCAAATCACGGCACCCCCTTCACGAAATTCGCCCCCCGGGCCACTCGAAGTGCCACGTGCCTCCAATACCCTTCACGGGTGACAACCGGCCTCCAGGAGTCAGGCAGGAAACCCGAAGACCAGTCCGCAATCGTATCTCACCAAAAGGGGCCCAAGGGAGAGGAACCTCCATACTCTTTATTGGGACTCGAGGTACACTGCCCTCTGCTCCCGGACCTCAGTAGTCCCGGCGGAACCCCGAAGACAGTCGCCGTGTATCTTCCACCCAAAGGGCAGGAGAGGAGACCTTCCATTCACTTCTAAATTGGACTGAGGGGTAACACTCCCTCTCTCCGACCTCCAGTAGTCCGGCAGGAAACCCCGACGACACTCCCCGATTGCTCTCCAAAAAAAGAAGGGCGGCAGATAACAACTACCTTCCTGACTGTACTCGTCCTCACCCGTACGGAAATTTGAACTTTAGGTGGTGGACATCCGTACGCTAAAATCCCCATAATTTTAGCGATGGACAGTGGAACCTGGGCGGCCTGGGACGGTAAATGATTACCCAGGAGACCTTTGTTAGCACTGAACAATGTGGTGACTCCCCGTCCCAAATTGCGCTAAAACGTCGTGAGAAGGGGGCACCGTCCTGCCGTCCTTTGATCCAAAATTTTAGCGTTGGCCACCAGTGGTACCACCCCCTCAACATCCTTAGCATGGAACCACACCACGCCTCGAAGGGAACGTGAACAATTGTAGGTAGACTAAACGGGAAAAACAGACATAAAAAATGACTAATTACGTGACACGAGGGACCCCTACTACGCGGGAGGACACCCCCTGTGTACCTCCTTGACGTTGAAGTTTTGAAGTGAACACGAAAAATTGTCAAATTCTTTATAAAAAAATACAACTAGATAATATTTGGGACGCGCGCGGACCCTTTGTCAAAAGAATTAGTAATGTTTTTGGCAATACCTCGCCCCCCGACGTCCTTGGTGAAAGGGGCCGAACGTTGGTCCAAATAAGGACCCCCCACTTTATTACGTTTAAACATAGTCTTGTGATCGATAATGGTAAGTTCGCGCGCGCGCCGTCAACTGCGTTTTTCTTGTTTTTCGACAGGAGTCTCCTTTTATGTGGTGTTCGGTGTCTAGTTTTCCTCTAAAGGAGAAGGACCCATTTTCTTGTGGGCGGGGGCCTAGAGACGTACCACACACCGGGACCTCGCGACGACTGACGGTCGTACGCGGCGTAATATCCGTGTAAAAGCCCTATGTAAAGAGGGTGCAACAGCCGTGAAGTACACAATAATACATTAAACAATATAATAATATAATAAACACATAATATACTATGACACATAATACAAAAGACATTTTTTAGTACACTAATAATTTATTCTACTTATTTTGTACTTGATAGTGGACTTCCCAAGGGGTCCCCCGTCTTATGGTCAACGGTCCACAAGTCTGATAGCCAATTTTTGTACAAATGGGTCCTAAGTCTGTTTGAAGGACCGAACCATTTTTACGGCCACTACGTGGGACCTCCAATAGAAGTATCCATAGAAATTTGTTGAAGAGGGGCGGAAAGTTTGGTGCAATAAGGACCGCACAAAACTGTCGGACAGCTAAAACGTCCTGTACGTAAATTGTAACTGCGCGAAGAAGGACCTTTACGTCCTTATACCAGGTAACAGGTCGCTCTCCCAGTGGTACAATTGCCTCAATAGGGACCGTTTTTACTTGTCCGATGTTGGAGAGGAACGCGTCTGCGCATATTTTTTGTGGAAGGGGCTGTATTTGTGTGCAAAGAGAACCCACCATTTGCAGCGCTTTGCATACGCTCGGGAGCATCAAGTATGTAAATTTCCCCATTGGCGGTCCCTCCGGTACTATTCTATAGGAGGTCGTCTTCCCCCACGCACGCCCGCACTTATTCGCGCGGCTTTATACCTACGGCGTACCCGCCTGCCATTTCGTGGCGTTTTAGGTGGCGCGCAAAATCCCAGAATGGTCGCCGTACGTCCAGACCGTTCCCACACTAGTAGGCCCGCAAATCAGGGCGACCCTCACGAATTCAGGCCCCTCGAGGGCCTGAGTGACGACACGTTGTCCAATACCTGCCAGGGGTACAGTCCCTGTGTACACTGCAGAACCAGGCAGGAAACCCCCAGACCCTCCCGTGGTATCTCCACTAAATGGGGCCAGGAGACTGGACCTACAAACCCTTTATTGGACTCAGGTCACACGTCCCTGTGTACGACCTCCAGACACCCAGGGCAGACAACCCCCAAGAACCTTCTGCGCGGTATCTCCACTAAAGGGGGCCACGAGA